TTGGTCAACATTACCTGGGATATTGGCGCCTCTTGCGTCTGAAGGATATAGTGCTACGCTCTTAAACGATACATCTATATTATATATCGGAGGTGGTCAACGTTTAAGAACTGCAAATCCGGAATTTTTATATCTTTCATTGGATAAGGTTTACAAACCATGAACTTAATTTCTTGTACTGTATTGTACTGAATAACGGGTTACTAATTAGTGTTTTTTCTAAATAGTTACCATTATATAATATGAAAGATAATACTTGGAGCTTGGTTGTAAGTTTTATTAAAAGTATCTTTTGATATGATGGTTGAGCAATATCGATCTATGTAAATCAAGTTATATAAAATTACATACCTGAAAGAAACAGACTTGTCTTGTGCCAAGCTAAAAATTTACACGTAAGAAATCTATGTCAGGTTTTGTCAATCATTCGGCCTGCAGTAAGATAAATTTTGAGATTAGAGTTAAATTGGGCTTAGGTTGGGGTTAGATGAGAATTTAAAGCAAGACCTATACTCAAATTATGTTAGGAAATTTTTTTCTTTTTTTTTTTGCATTGCATCCAATGTGATCTTGTTATGGAGACAATCACCAAAATTATGGGTCAGAATCCATCGTAGATTACCTTATATAAAATTTATCAATACCAATCAGGATTCTATTCAGAATTTTGAGAACATATATCGATATTTTATTTATTCATTCCGCTAAATAAGATAGATTAAGATAGCTATCTTATCTATTTTAACTATTTATTTTAAATAATATCTAGCGAATGTTAACTTTGTTTATGTTTACATAAATCCAGTCAACTTCGGGGAGCATTCCATCACCGCGAATCGACCACGGTGCTGTCTTTATACGTGAGTGATATAAATATCGCTCGAATTGAAATTTTAATGATACAACAATCAACTCTAGATACAACGAACACTTTTTAATGAACTTTTTTTAACAAATTTATTAGAGTTCGATATAAAAACATAATAAATTTTCTATGAGAAACTTTTTAAAATTTCATAGATAGAGTCTCTCAAAGTTCGTTATATCCAAAGTTGACCGTATATTGTAAATCATACTTGCTCCTATTAATAAATAAATCATTTCTCTTCTAAATATAGCTCCGTATAATCAAATTTTAATATTTTATGGATCTAGTGACACTTCAATTATGGCACTTGACACATTAAAGTTTGTGTGGTCAGTTGCTACAATTTCAAATATTGGTGGTTCTCCATCTAGTCTGTTTAGTTTTGCTTCAACTCTAATTGGAGCTTATATCCTTATTGCATTTGGAAGAATTAGTAAGCATATCACTATACTGTATTACATATTAATATAAAATTTGATTGATAATTTTTTCAATTTTAGATAATTCCATACATCCTGCCACAAATAACATTTTTCTTCTTGACGTAAGTCAAAAAGACAATTATAAATGGGTTACTGTATACGATCCTACCAAACAGCTCCAATCTATTCAACCCATTCCTACTACTCCAACTTCCTCAACTTCTTCGCTATCTACTGATTCATCTAGTAATATTGCCGCAATTATTGGAGGTACATTTGGTGGATTGGCAGGACTTATAGTATTAATAACAATTGCAGTGCTTATTGTCAAAAGATATGGACATCCTTCTCATTCTAATTTAGAATTAGAAGAATCATCAAGTCACCAGCCAATACCATAATAGTTAAATTATATTTCACTATTTATGATTATAAGTACTTAAAAGTTATTTTTATAACAAAATATCTTTTCAAATACGTGCTTTTGATCAAGATTTTTCTTAACTTTATTGCTATTAAAATACTTAAGAATTTAAGTTAGGAATTTGTCTTCAAATTCTTCAGATTAAAATAATAATCTATGTATAGCACAACTAATTAATCTACTCAAAATCAGTGATTCGTATGCATTATACTGTATATATTGCTATAAGTATAGAAATCTTGTAAAATTATTTTTATATTTCAAAATAGATTCAGAATCAATTTTAGGTTGGTTCAAAATTCTCTAATCACCTGCTTCAATTTAAAATTAAATTTATTAAATTCGATTTTAACGTGCATGTTCAGTTTTTTTTTAATCTACTTCGATAACACAAATGATCAAGACTATTACAAATACAAGTACGATATTAATTTTATGAATACATAATGTTGACCTTGATTTAATTATTATCATTTGTGAATTCACAAAATTGGTGTATATGATGGTTCTAACTTCTGCCTATTCTAATAGACGGTAATAAATTCTTCCGAGGTCAAAGAATATTACATAAACTACGGCTGTTTTTTTTTTTTGAATCCTATGCATGAAATTTCGCTGGTCAAATTAATATAATTTTAAGAAACAATTTTGAAAACTTGAGTTACTGAATAAATTATTATTTACACACTTATTGAAATTTGCCGGTCATATAATAAAGAGTATATATTAGTAAGATATTTGTACAGAATATTTACATAAGGAGACTGGGGTTTTTAGATCGCCTGCACCGACGTACGTACGTATGTACGTACGTACGTACATATCAGATATCAGATATTAATATTAATATGTAACTATCCCTAGTAGCACCGAACGTTGGCCACACCACTGCAGCATTGGTGATTTGTAATTTTCTTTTTAAAAAATGCATGATTTTCATGTTACACTGATATTTAACCTAATCTGCATAATGATAAATAGAACCATACGGCGCTATTGGAGTAGTTCTGGTACGTACGTACGTACGTACTTGCTTAATTTCAGTCAGATGCCTAAAAGTAACAACTTTGGAACTAGGCATTGATGCAATCTGTGTACGTATCAGCCTTGTACTACAACTACGTAATACAATGCCAAGTATCTTGTCAATTTAAAATTAGGTTTCTATCAAATCTGATTGAGTTCTGTAATGGTCACAATGTTTCAAAAAAAAGGAATCGTTCTTCTTTCTTTGATCTTTTTCATAACTTATGTACATTCTTACGGATTTGTAGGTAATAATATTATTGAAGGATTATATTATTGTCTTTAAAACAAGATTTATATTTAGAATCTTTTTGAATTTAGGGCATCAAATTGCAGCAGCAATAGGACAGCGATTTCTTTCGCCAAAAGCTTTTAGGAATGTCTATGAATTACTTCCGAAAGGAGCACATGGAAATTTATCATAGTATAATAATTTTAATACATTATTTGTTATTAATATTGATAATCAATAACTAGAATTAAAACTTCTTTCTCATTAATTACAAAAGTATTGCAGCATGGGCTGACCAAATTAAACATAAACCAGAATACAGATTTACATCTCCAATGCACTATATATCGCCACCGAATGATTATCCACCATCCAATTGTTATTTTAGTTGGACTCCAGGAAAATATGACTTAATTAATGCAATTCATAATTATTCAAATATACTTGATCCAAAATCTGATCATGCACATTGGCTAAGAGCTGAAGCATTAAATTTTGTGGTTCATTTCATTGGAGATTTACATCAACCTTTGCACAGTAAGTTATATATCTTTCTATATTAATTCTTTATATATTAATTTATATATTCATTTTCATAACCTTTTTTTTTTTTATCTAAAGTTACAGCTAGAGATAGAGGTGGAAATGGTTCACCGGGTATATTTCTATTCATTTTTTTATTTATATCTTCTCGTCATGATATATCGTAGTATTGATTTAATCTATATGTCTTTTTTGAAAAAGCTCTATTTGAAGGACATCATACTAATTTACACTTTATATGGGACACAAATTTACTTTATGTACGTATATATGCCAACAAAGGTTTAGGGATTTCACACAATGATTTTGAACATGAAACTTGGTTTTTCATGATTATACCAATCTTTTTAATATATTGTATGAATTTCCAAAACTTTCCCTGCTATATTATAAGATATTTGTTAGAGATTCGAATCAATTGATTAATTTGAAATTCGAATCTAATATGTGTAAAATAATTTTATTGCGTTTATTCAAATATTCAATGAATTTCAATTTTTCATTTTCTAATAACAGAAACGAATTCGAGAATTTAATGAAAATTCCAATTTTGACTATAATTTAAACGAGGTTGATAATCAATTTAACTCTTCTGAACCCTTATTCGGCGGCCCATTTTATGAATTATATTTAAATTATATACTTCATTTAATGAAAACAACATGGCGTGGTGAACTTAGATCATGGACATTTTGTCAAGATTTTGCCCCTCAATTTTCCGGTGATCCTAATCAATTCCATTTCACCTCTGAAAACGTATCTTCTGACCATTTTACGGTTTTATCAATGGATCAAAATCTTTCACAGAGTGTAGCCTGCCCAGAATTTTGGGCTATACCCATAAATGAATTAAATTGTAGAGTAGTTTATAATGGGTATGAACCTGGAGCAGATTTGAGTATCGGTGCTTATTATGATAGAATTGTTAATGGCAAAGTTATGGAGAAATTATTGGCTATTGCTGGAATTAGAATCGCAGCTGTGTTGAATACTATTCTTGGATAAAGAAAAATCTTTTAAATAGGCTTGTCTTGAAAATAATTACTGTTAATTTCTTAGCTTTCTATTAAATTAATGTTGCTGAAAATTACATGGAAAAAATTTTATCAAAAAATCATTGCCAAAGAGTTAGTACAATAGTAACTATCTTTTTTTATATTTTCTCCTTCACTTGTGTGTAGTTATGAAATTATATTCATTTGCATTACAATTGGAACATTTATATTGTGATGATTTTTAACAGATATTATAGTATCATTAAAATTTTAAGCATTAGTTATCTCTGCTACTCAATGATTTTTTACCTTGGCTAATGAACGTTTTAAATTTATACTGATTCAGAAATCAAAAAGTTATATACTTGAGATTTCATATGATTAACAAAGAAAAGTTTTTTTTATTAATATAAAACATGATTTATTAATTTCTTTTATAATACTGACAGCTTTAATAAACTAGCGACCAAAGAGTGATAAAATACTTATTATTATAAATATTAAGTATGTGATTCGTAGTATTGAAGTAATTAGGTTAGATAAACCGATTATTGGCATGTTGAAAAAGACATTTTAATTTGAATATTGCGTATTTAGGGTTTGAATCCAAAAAGTATTGTTATTATCTTATTAAAAAAATCATTTTATTCTTGAAGCTTGGATACTAAAACTTGAATAATAATCCAACTAATTAAACCATTGTAGTATTTATATTATTCCAATATACTATTACAGTATTTTAATATGAACTAATTACGGCATAAAATTTAAGAAACTATATCTATAGTCAGATGAGATGTGAGATGTAAATGGATATCAAAAGTTGGTCGATATTGGATTGGAATATATTTATTTAAATTTTTTTACACTAATTATAATTTTTATAATAAACTTTTCCAATAACATTTATGAAAAGAATCAAATGTTGGATGATTTCAAAATAAAAATATAATATAAAAAATTTTTATATTTATTTATAAATTAAATAAATTTATTTTATAGATTATCTCTTTTTATCAAAGATACTTTTTATAATGTATATTTAGAGAATATAAACAAATTGTATTTATAAAGATCAAGTATATATTTGGACAAGAATCTGTGCATATATTTGGAGAGTCATTGATTATGTTATACTTAGAGAGGTTTGACTGCATAAATAATTTATATAATTTAATAATAGGTAAAGTTTTTAATTTAAAATTAGTTACTTTGATATTTTAACAAAATAAATTAAAATTTACAAAATTTCTAATTTTCACTACAGGTGAGATCACCTGTAATTTAGACAATACTACATATATACATATTTATATATATGTATTTCAATTTATTACAATATTTATTATTACAGTCAAACCCCTCTATAGTCACCTCCTCTATAGTCACAAAATTGGTATAATTACTTATTTATTTTTACCAATT